ATCCCACCCCCTATCCAACCCACCCTGCTCCCTGTCCCCTGACTGCTCCCACCCCTTATCCAACCCCTTACCCGGACCCCTTACCATGAGGCTCCTAGCAGCATGTTCTGCTCCGCGCAGAGCCAGACATGGTGCTCCGCGGGAGCGCGCAGCCCTGGCCCCCAGAGCGCTGCGTGCACGGCGGCATGGCTCCAGGGGAAGGGCCGGCGGCTTGCTGTGCTTGGCCGGGTGCTCCAGCCCGGGAGCGCAGACCTTGCGGCTTGCCGTGCCGGGAGAGTAGAGCGCCATATGCCCACCCCTGCATTAGGGTGTGCCTGGGCACACCCGGCGCACCCCGTGCACATGCCTATGTGCCTTATCTACCCCCATCGCTCTAGGCTTCCCTACTCTCATTGGTTTATTGTCGCTATGCTAGCATGCCCATTTGCAATGGGAGGACACATATGGCAAGTTATAGAATCTTTGAGCAACTTGCAACAGTATTCTTACTACCTTATCCATATTTCTGGTGGCAGCGAGTAGCATGTCTCCCACATGTTGCTGACCATGCCACAATCAGAAATAGCTATGGGCCTTACCTCCACACCTGGGACATCCTGGGAGGTCTACAGAAAGCCAAGACTATAGTGTAGAGACCTTGTACTTTTGTATTCAATCTGGACCCTGGTGGCTTCCCTCCATTAGGGACTTACCCAAGCTGTTGCTGTCTCTTGGATCTCCAGGAGATGAGGGCTTGGTGGAAGACGTAATTTGGTATTACCTTTTCCCTGGAATCTCCAGCATGCCTCTCCTCCCCAGCAAGATAGGGATGACATGTCCTGTTCAATCTCTGACCCCTCTCTCAACTCAGATCCCAGATCTGCAGAGAGACTTCTGTGCTATCCAGAGAAGCAGGAACAGTGATATGTAGACAACTGAGGTCCCTTCTGCCAAGGAGAGGGGAGATCCAAATGGGGAGGTTTAGGAGATCCATCCAGACCATAGCTAAAAGCTACTGAAAGGCAGACCTATATCAGTGCCAGGTGGAAATGATTATAGTTAGTATGTATAGAAAAACTCTTCAGTTGTGACAGCTAATCTATAAATTGATATTATACACCTGAATTTAAAAATATTTTTGTATACCAAATTAATTAAGTATATTGGAAATCCATGTATTATGCATAGAATAACAGTTGTCTTGGAAGAAAATACCACCCTAGAATTTTCTCAAAGGTTTTGATAATGGAGTATTTATTAATGGTAGCAGAGGCCAATAACATCTTAAGGATTTCCTCTGCTACATACATTATGTATATATTTAATTTTATTCTTTTATGTTTTTAATCTATTTAATTTAAAATATTAAGTTATTGATTTACTATCACCTTAAAGTAAAGTTAATAAAAGGCTATTACAACTTTCGCTGATGTCAGTTGAAGGGTATTACAAGTCTCTTGGGAACTGTAATACTCTTTCACTGATGTCAGTGAAAACTGTAATAACATTCTAGGGACACAAAGGAGTTATCAGTTTATTCTTTGATTGCAATTTACTGAGAAATAAACTGGTATTTATTATATGAGATATACTGTGTAGGCTAATAAGTGGTTCCAGAGACAAATAAAGATTGCTGAAGCAGTTAATACAGAGCATAGAGCCTGAAAGTTGATGCACCTATTCTTATTTTTATCATATATTGTACTTTACCTTCTAGTTAATGATTTAACTTTCCTTCTAAGTGACATCAATGAAAATACACTAAAGCTCTCATTGATGTCAAATAACTGATACAGGTTTTATTGGTTCATCTACTGTTACAGTTGTCAGAATAATACTCTGGAAAGTATATTTCGTCTGCAATTTTTTATCCTGCTATACCAGCTTCTGGCCTGAATTCTGTTTAAACAAAAGAAAGATATCTCCAAATTTTCTACATAATGTCAACCTTTTGCATTTTATTTTGTTATTTTGCAAAGTATATAGATTCCAACAGAGAAGATCCACATGGAAAAAATATTGGGCACAACTTACAAAAAAACCCATCAGAATAGGTCCCTTATTGTTAAGAGTTTTAAGCAAGCAGAAGTTTTATATGATTAGATATGAGTTGGGGCCATATTTGTTCCTTGTAAAATAATCCTTGTTTAAACAAGCTTTTGATGATTTGTTATAAAATATGGTAATATACTACTGTATTTTTATTTTTCAAATTTAATGTTTGAGTACTGCATGTAAAATATTTTCATAGAAAGGTTGACATGATGATCCTATAACAGCAGTATAGTGGTCACTGGTGTAGACCTTGCTGTTTATCATTCTTGACCTGTAATTCTCTTTTGCTAAAATCTCTATCTGCACTTTTTATGTAAACAAAATATGTTAAAGCCAAATTGTGCCATCAGATATGCACACACAAGTCACAATCTGAAAGAATTATGTGTCTTTACCTGAGGGCAGAATGTCAATTATTACTGGTCATATCTCATAGGATATACATGAAGCTACTCTGAATAGAGACAAATACATTACAAATAACTATATACACAGTTATGATAACAATGTAAAACAATGTTATCTATAAAATATACCAAAAAATTACATAAAGAGAGAGAAATCAAATCCCATGGTAGAGCAACAATTAAAATAGATTGTATCTCTTTTCTTTCAGAATGTTTCCATTAAAACAGAAAAGGTCTGTTACTTGAAAACAATGGAAGAAAAGAGAGGTAGATTTTTCAGTTTTAAGAGAAAGCCCAACAGGGAGGTTTTAGTAGTGTAACAGTGGAAGACATTATCGGCTACATTTTAATTAAAGCTGTGTGGATGGTTTGACTTGAACTCAGAAGTACTCAAACCCAGCCTTGATTTGTATGTTTTAGAATTACTTAGATTATAATTCAACCAAGTGAATAACAGAGGTAACTCAATAAGTTAAGTATCACAAGACTGTAAAATAATGCATTTTTAAACAACTTGCCTTAGAAGTGTATTTTCAGCTAGATCAGGGGTTCTCAAACTTCATTGCACCGTGACCCCCTTCTGACAACAAAAATTACTACAGGTCCCAAGGAGGGGGAGAGGCGGGGGACCAAAGCCTGAGCCTGCCCAAACCGCACCGCCCCGGGTGGAGGGGGCCAAAGCCCCAGGTCTTCAGTCCCAGGCAGAGGGCCTGTAATCTGAGTCCCACCACCCAGGGCAGAAGCCCTCAGGCTTGGGCTTTGGCCCCAGGCCCTAGCAAGTTTAAACCAGCCCTGGTGATCCCATAAAAACAGGGTCATGACCCACTTTGCAGTCCCAACCCACAGCTTGAGAACCACTGATCTAGATCATTAGCAATGGTGTACAGATACTTCCACAGAGGGCAATTTTGTTGCCTTTGCTTGAGTAAATCACACCATTTATTTCAGTTTTGCATGGGTGTGGATAGGATGATTTCTTCAAATGTATATAACATCACTTAAGCCTTGGCTACACTTACCCGGTAGTTCGGCAGCGAGCGATCGAACTTCTGGGTTCGACTTATCGCGTCTAGTCTGGACGCGATAAGTCGAACCCGGAAGTGCTCACCGTCAACTGCGGTACTCCAGCTCGGCGAGAGGAGTACCGCGGAGTCGACGGGGGAGCCTGCCTGCCGAGTGTGGACCAAGGTAAGTTCGAACTAAGGTACTTCGAACTTCAGCTACGTTATTCACGTAGCTGAAGTTCCGTACCTTAGTTCGAATTAGGGGGTTAGTGTAGACCAAGCCTTAGATTCTAAAATGACAGACATTTTTACATTTAATTTTGAATCTTAATTCACACCATTCATAGCTCATGGCATGCAATATCTTTTATTGCTAATTTTCCTCAACAAGTTCCCCCATTAAAAACATCTTTATTATCTCTGGAAAATTGGGGAGAGAAAAGTGAACCACTCCTCCCCCTTTTGAGGAAATTCTGTTTGCTTCATAATTGCTGTTGTTTCTCACTTAGATACGGAGGTGACGGACACCTTAAAAATACCATAGACAGCGAGAGACGATTATTGCTATAAAGCACAATCTGCAAACAATTATAATAAGTATAAATGTATGTCTTAAACATGAGACTTCTGAATATCAAGGAATGGCAAATTGTTTGCGTGTCCTTCAATGGTGCAATAAGGTAAAAGTAAAGACGAGTCTTTAATAGAAACCACACATATTGCCAGGCTTGAGAAAAAAATCTGAGAGCAGTTTGCTTGAGGAAAAAAAATCGGAGAGCTGTTTGCTATTTATTTATTTAAGAAAAACAAGTTTACAAATTCCCTGCCATGTAACTACCAAACAAAACAGTCACTCCAACCCCTAGCTTTTGTTAGAGAGGCATTATATACGCGACCATAATGATCAGATCTTTCTGTGTAACAGGGTGTTACCATATTACAGCACCTCTAAGTGATAACATGCCATTCCTAGTGATTTTAGTAAGTTGAGTGAAACCTCAACGTAGAGGTAAAATAGCGAACATTAGCAACACTTGTAACAGAGGTGCGAGGGGCTGAGGCTCAGGGGATGATCCTGCTCCCACTGACTTCTGCGTGGTGGGATCCAGCCTCTCCAAACAGCCTGGGCAAGCTCACAGCAAAGGCCTAATCCTATTAAAGACACCTCAGGCTTCGCATGCGCTACGGTCAAGCGACCTGTGCACCACGCCGTCAGGAGCGGTCAGTGCGGGCGGGCTCCAGCACTTTCCTCCTTTAAGGAGGCGGGTCTGTGCTAAAGGCCGCGCAACAGGGACCCAGCTGAGGAACGATCCCTAAGGGCTCCACCCGGCGTTCCGCGCGCGACCCTACGGACGGCCGTTCACGGGCACGGCTGGAGGGCGCGCGCCTGCGTGTGAGCGCTCACCCGCCCGACTCCCTCCACCCGCGGCTCGCACCCTCTCGCGGGATGGGAGGGGGAGAGGAGCCGCTGCCTTGGCAGCCGCCGGGACGCGGAGAGTCTCTCGCTTCAACTTGGCTTGGAGGGTGGCGCCGCCATGCTGGGGGCCGAGATCCCCTTCCCCCGCCCCAGGAGAGAAGCTTGGCCAGAGCTTGTGGAGGAGCCTTCGCCGCCGGGGAGCGGGGTGGAAGATTCGGCTGGGCAGGGGGTTGCCGCCACCGCCACCTCCTCTTCGTCCCCCTCCTCCTCGATGGCGCAGCGGTGGGAGGAAGAGGAGAGGCGGGGGGCGGCCCCCCTGGCCAGAGACCCCCCGCGCGGCGGGGAGGCGGCCGGGGGCGAGGAGGAGCCGCTCCTCAGGGGCATTTTCCAGATCGGGAAGAGGAGCTGCGACGTGGTGCTCAGCGCCAGGCAGCTCCGGTGGAGCCCCATCCAGCCCGAGAGCCGCGGGGGTGAGTGAGGGGAGCTGGCTGGGGGGAGAGTGGGGAAGCGGGGGCGGACCCCGCTGCTTCGGTGCATCCCCAGCAGCCTTCAATGTGCCTGTCAAGGGGAAGGCGGTTTGGGGCTGGCATATTCCCCCCTCCAATCAAAAGTGACTGCTAAGTCTCCAACTTGTTAGCGGAGACGCTCCAGCCCCAAGCACCGTCCCAACCTGGCGCCACCCACCCTGCTGGCGCACGGGGGACTGTGCATCGCCACTGTTTTGCCACTTTAGTTGGTCTTGTTTTGAACACTTGCTAAATTGATAGAGGCTAGTTCAGGCAGGGATGCCTGCAAGGGGCTGGGCAGCCACAGGGCAGAGAGCAGCAGGGGGAGGAGGTAGTTGCCAGAGTATGTTGGCGACATACATATCAAGTTACTATAATAACTAAATCATCGCTAAAGTGCCACTTGCTCCTCCTGGAGAGGGCCAAATCTTTGTGTTCAGTTTTTTGGACCAGTATCACTTTATGCTCCTGTGGCTATTTCCTTTTCTGCCAGACCACAAATTTTACCTATGGAAGGGGGACAGTTAGCCTCAGATGAAATTTTCAGAACAAAACTGCTGAATTTCTAGTAGAAGAGGGCTTTTTCTGTGGTTCCGTCTTACAAATCAGTTTATGGAAATTGAAAGTTTACTTAAAACAGGATTACAGTAAATTAGTTAAAAGAGATAATTACTGGCATCTCTCTCCACTTTAAATCTGTGCCAGCAATAAAAGTGAAGAATTTAATTAAATAAGGTTATCAAGATCTCAAACCTAAAACAAAGTATCCCTGGGCAGTCTTTCTTTATTATTCTAGTATATAAACACTATGGAAACATGAAATAGTGTCTTACAGCTTTTAGCTATAGGTAGAATAGAAATAGGATTTTTATTGATTCTGCAGCGTCAGTTTTTTGCATTTTAATCTAAATGACAGCTGTATATATGCTATATAGAAATTTATTGTGAGCTGTCTCTAAGTTTTAGGGTGAGGCTTGTGGATCAAATCCTGCTCCACTTACTCAGCTGAGTAGTTCTTCTTATTTCTACTGTGAGTAAAGCAAACTGGATTTAGCTCAGCGTCTTTATCTCAGGGTTTTGTGTCAAACTTCTTGATATTTATTATGGTGAAATTTTTAAGGCCACAGCAAAAGAAATTAAGCTCCAGAAAGTTGTCCCGATAAAACAGTCTTCAGTGAGCAAAGTTGTTGAAAAGGACTTGAGTAGAACAAGATCTGTTTTACAAAAGATTTTACAAAGGGAAAATTTTCAAATATCTGCATGCTCTTAATTCAGAGTTACAGATACATATTTGTCTATCCAGCAACCTGGCTTTTTCAGCAATTGCTAAATCATAATCTTTGCTCACATCTTCTCCAGGGTGTCCACAGTGGGACTCTACTGTACTTCTCTTTTAGAGCTGGCTCTCTAGCAGAAAGCAAATGGTATGTTTAATAAATGCAGAGAGGTGCTTATTGTATGAGAGAAATGGCATAAAATCCATGTTACTATGATCAGATTATTGCTGTGGCATAGCCGACTCATGCATACCCAAAAGCTATACCAAAGGAATTTTGTGTTCAGCTGTAAAAAAACTTTGAGACCTGGTATGCCACCAAATAATCCTGTTTCTCAGGGTTCCTCCAATCACAACAGCTCAAAACTATATGAGACTCCCGGGGCATATGTCTGTGCACATATGTAGTCCAATATGCCAGGCTGCATCTCAGGACTCTTCAAAGTTGTCTGGCCTCTGTTTATTCACCAAATCATCACCATCTGAACATGGTGCCCTTGTGAGTACTAACTTCACTAGATTGGTGGACAGACCCCCTTAGTGTTTGTGTGGGAGTTCCCTTTGTCCGCTGTCAGCCTTTGATGACACTGGTGATGAACACATCTGCCCTGTGATGGGGAGCTCATCTGAGTCCCCTCTGAACTTAAGGTTTGTGGTCCTCAAGGATCTCCTATCTTCATATCAATGTCAGAGAGCTAAGGGCTGTCTGCCTCACCTGTCAGGCCTTCCTATTTTGTGTCCAGGGAAAAAGCCTGTTTGTTCTTACAGACAACACTGTGGAGATGTTTGTTTTACCTCAACAGGCAATGGGGAGCTCACTCTTTCCTGCTTTGTCAGGAAGCAATTCACCTATGGAACTTTGACTGAACTTGCAGTGTGAGTCTCAAAGCCTCTTACCGTACAAGGGTGCAGAATGAGCCAGTGGACCACCTAAGCAGATAATTTCCAAGCCACCATGAGTGGTCTCTCCACCCGGATGTTGCCAGATGAATTTCCAACAGTGGGGGACTCCCCAGATAGACCTATTTGCAAAGAAGGCTGTCAGGAAATGCCAACTGTTTTGCTCCCTACAAGGCCACAGTCCCGGTTCCATCACAGATACTTTCCTGCTGCCCTGGACAAACAAGCTGTACTACAGTTTTTCCCCAATCCTACTCCTACACAGAGTGCTGCTAAAGATCAAACAGGACCAGTCCTAAGTCATATTAATAGCCCCAGTGTGGCTTCCCCTTTATTGGATCTGTCATTGGCAGCTACAATTTCACTCCCATTGCCCCTAGACTTGATCTCTTAAGATCATGGTTGACTGCTCCATCCAAACCTACGGGCCCTTCATTTAGCAGCTTGTAGGCTCTATGGCTAAATTGTAGGGAGGAGTCTTGCTCAGAGCAAGTTTTCCGTGCATTGTTAAATTGTTAAATGTATCAGAGCTTTTTACATGTCAAAATAGAGGTGTTTTCCTATCTGGTCGTGTCACTTCGGGGTCTCACCAATGCAGTTCTCTATCCAGGATATACTGGATAATCTCTTGCACCTAAAACAGGTCTGTCAAGGTCTAGTTGGCAGCAGAATCAGCTTTCCATCTGCATGTTGATAACAGTTCTATATTTTCTAATGACGTGAAGGACTGGAGAGATTTTACCTTCAAATAAGGGAACCTATTACCCTGGCACTTGAATCTAATTTTGTTGAAGCTCAAGGGCTATTGTTTGGTCCTTACTGCACCTACCTCTGAAGGTGGCTTTTCTAGTAGCTAGTGCTTCAGCCAGAAGAGTGGCTGAACTGCATGCTCTGACATCTGAACCACCTTATACACACTTTTTTTTAAGGATAAGGTGTACTTGCGGTCTCATCTGAGATTTCTCTCTAAAGTGGTATCTAACTGTCATATTAAACAGTTAATTTATTTACCTATGTTTTACCCCAAACCACATGCCAATAAAGAGGAGTAACATCTGCAAACTATACACATTAGAAGAGAGTTGGTGTTCTACATAGACAGGACTAGTTTCATTTGTTAACCCAACTGTTCGTGGCCATAGCAGACAGAATGAAAGGTCTCATGATCTGTTCACAAATAATTTTGTCTTGGATAACTTTCTGCATGTGTTTATGATCTGGCAGGCATTTCCCCATTGGGCAAACTGCCACCATGTTCCACAGGATCACAAGCGGCTTCAGTGGTGTTCCTTATGCAAGTCCTTATCCAGGACATTTGGAAAGTGGCAACCTGGTCTTCAGTTAATACCTTCTCATCCCATTATGCTTCTGCTGAGTACTCCAGAGAAAATGGAGTACAACTCATCCAAATTTAGCAGTCTGTGTGTACATTAACTCAATCCCTCCTCCTACATTACAGCTTGTAAGTCACCAAGAGTGGAGTGCACATGTGCAATCACTCAAAGAAGAAAAAATGGTTACTAACCTTTTGTAACTGCTGCTGTTTGATATGTGTTGCACATGTCCATTTCATGACTTGCCATCCTATGCCAGAGTTGTCTGTCAAGAAGGGACTGAGGGAACTTGGGGGCAGCTGGGCCTTTTGTACTGGCACTCAGTTAGGGTGACCAGATGTCCCGATTTTATAGGGACAGTCCTGATTTTTGGGTCTTTTTCTTATATAGGCTCCTATTACTCCCCACCCCCATCCTGATTTTTCACACTTGCTCTCTGGTCACCCTACACTCGGTGGCACGCAGCCAGGGCCGGCTCTAGCTTTTTTGCTGCCCCAAGCAGCAAAAAAAAGCGCCGCCCCCCGCCGAGC